AGGTAACCTAGAACACAACAATGCTACAGTTTAAGCAATTTATTTAAACAAGATGATGGCTTCATACCATCAGGATAAACTTCCATCAGCTTCCCTTCCTTTTTACTGACTCACTCTGRGAGCCCAGGAAAAGCACCCCAAACCTTTTTGACTGATGTGCTGTGAGAAATCAGCCCTCCCTGCTCCAGCTCCTGCCACTGRGGCGGCTTCCTTCCCCACCACTGGTTCTCAAGGTCTCTAAACACTGAGACCTGTAAGAATAAATATCCAGGAGACAGCAGCTGTGACCCATTTATTACCGGATGCTGCTGCAGGGCACAGCTGAGGAAGGCAGGGCAGAGGAAAAGCACTTTCTGCAAAGRGAATGGTGGAGCAAACCCAGGTGCCCTTGGAAGAAGCACTCTGCTTGCAGCTCTGCTCCAGCTCTGTTGCTCCAGCTCCCAGTTGGCAACAGACAGCTTAGATCAAGCATGGATGTTCAAGTACTGCCATGAGGGCTCCTCTCATATCACTGCTGGGAGGCAAAATACAGAGCAAAAAAAGCCCAAAAATAAAAATTTACAGAGGCCAACAAAGGACCGAGAGGCCACAAGAGTGTCATGTACCAAACCAGCTGGTAAAACTGCCCCSGTGCAGGTAAATGCATTTGGAAAGATCCGTTCTGACAACAAAAATCTGAGATACTTTTACCCAGAGCRGGGCACAGGCAGAGCAGGGAAGGAGAAACGCCGTGGAGGGAAGCAGAGCACGTACAGCAGGCACACAAAGCCTGGCGCTCCAGCCCGCAGCCGGAGCAGGTCAGGAAGGCAGCACCGCGCYGAGGCCGACGGGATCCACATCAACCCTTATCAGTTCAGCCTTCGCATTTGCCGATTAAGTTCTGCCAGCACTGARCGATGGCACGACGGTACGTGTGTCCTCAGCCCACCCCCTCACCCCCCTGCACAGCCTCCCGCCGCTGCAGCCCGGCCCCRCTCTGGTCACCGATCAGAGCGTCGGGCCGGGGTGACATTGTCCCCTCCTGAAGAGGGACAGTAAGCGCCTGCGAGCCCGCTCATTTTATTCACTGCACAAGCACGTTTCCAACTGGGATAATCTCCATTAAACCATCTGCGCTCCCATCCTCGCCCGGCCTGCACCCGCTGGGCTGCCTGCGATACTGCAGCATCTGTGAACCGGCACAAGCGGATGCCGCGTCCCTTTCCCGATCAGCTAAAAAAACCAACTGAGACTCAGACAGAACAGATGCACCTGGTGGCTTTGACGCGCTACCGAGCCAGGCTACCAGGAATACCTGTGCCAGTGCCTCTTCTGAAAGGCACACAGCTCCCCTTGAGAATTTAAGCCATTTCCTTTCCATCATGGGAAGACACCATGTCCCAGATTGCCAGAAGAGGAGGGCTGAGAACRGAGTAGAGGTTTTAGCCTCAACGGCTGCCCTGGTGCAGAACAGAAGGGTTGTTTGCCAGGTCGTGAACACAGTTTGGATCAGACGTTCTGAAAGGCTGCTGATCCCCAGGATTTAGTCTCTTATTTATCTCAGTATCTGCTTTCTAGAAACAGGGACTGTCATGTCACATTCCTCCATCACTTGGACAGAATGACAAGGAAGTGTTACGATGAAAGATCTGAAACTTAAATCTGCTGCCCCTTCCCCAYGACCTCCACAGCAGAGCCCAGTGGACCCTATAGAGAGCATGATAAAGCAGCTGCAGTGAAGTGTGAATTCAGCACTGAGAGAACGTGACCCTGTCCTCAGCATTGGCAGAGACAGCCAGGGGACTTGGGAGTCACTCCAGCTGTTGAGGACATGGCAGGGTGGTGACGGGTCTGAAGCAAAGATAGAAATCCATCGATCTGCTTTAACTGTGATCACTGCTTGCCTTCAACAAGGTCGCTGGGCAGCCCAATGCACACCTTTCTTCCAGCCCATCTGTCCTGTGGGGTCTTGCCCTCACAGGACTGGAACAGCACAGCAACGCCCACCCTTCAAACCTCCCAGGTCTTTTATGGTCCCAAAAAGGAGGCAAATATCAGCAGCAAGTGATGGGACAGGAGCAAAAGTCTATTTACATAATTCCTGCACTTGCCTTCACTTATTTGTTTTGCAAGTCTTTATTTTCCAAAGCAATTTATAAACAAGAAGTGAGACAACCATTTGTTCAGACAAAGGTTAATAGGGGCCTAGCGGTCTCTGAAGACTCTGCAGTCACACTTAGGTGTGAAATCTTGGAGCAGCAATAAAGATGCTGCACAGACAAGTAAGTCTCAAGAGAAGAATTTAATCTGTCTAAATATTCTCATTATGTAYATAGTTTTCAGCTTCCATTCACAGTAATCAGAGCAGAGACAGCTTCCAGAAGCCTTTTTAGACAATAAGGCATGAAAAAGGATTTTTACGTCAGTCATTATTCTTCTCTCCATCCCCAGCTTGAAGAGTCAATGTTTGAAATGGTTTTTGTTGAAAAGAAGACACGGYGTTGGGAGAGAAAGAGTTGACAGGAGGAAGACAGCACGGGTCTTTGGCAGACTGGTAGGACTTGGCACMAGAGAGCTCCCATTGGCACCATTTGTCCAGAAAACCTCAAATAGATTATTCTCCTGGTAGTCCAAAATAGGTTTTCTGTAGGGTCATACACAGAGGATGAAATATAACACTAATCCAGAGAACTGCTTCACTGGAACCAGCAAGAAGTTCCAGTTATATCACCCATCTTGCTCCTAAAAGTCACTTAAACCTAAATACAGTACCAAGATAAGGTAGGAAAACTGGAGGCAGGCATCTAGGACAAAAGGGCTGATCCAAAAACTCAGCTGCTTTCTTTTGGGATCACAGTGTCCATCTGTCCCCTTGCCACAGGGGAACTTGTCTGCAAAAAGAGACCTTGTTTGTCCACTGAAACGTGGAACCTGAATTATTCCATCAGGCAAGAATTCAAAACAGAAATTTAAGAAAACAGAATAAGTTCTCCATGGGTAYGACACCCTGGGACCAAGAGAAGCTGTGCTCTTGATGCATCTCACCCCTCCTCACTTTCATGTTTCATTTTTCCCTTCAGACAGGCAGGTTTCAGTTTTTCTAGCATGTTCCAAACTCTACTTCAGTACACAAGAAGCTTGAACAAAATAGAGATAATTACAATGGTTCACTACTGAATTTTTTACTTGAAGTCAAGTGTCTTCCTTCCCCTACCTTCCCATCCCCAGGTTTCTCTCAGAAAGTTTAAGAGCTCAGTTGGTCACTAGTTRCCCACACTGCAAACAGGACAGTGGGGAACATATTAACCAGGACAGCARAGGGAAAACATTACCCAGCACAGCCACTTCAGAACTCACAGCCAGGGTCAGTAGTGCAGCCTGAGTTTTATAAATGATTACATCTCTTATGCCTCTCTACAGAGGTCACCATCCTCTCTGTTTTCTGGAGAACGAAACCATACAGGTCAAGCAGGGAGCGGGACCAGCAGAGCTGGAGAAACAACAAATCCCAGTTCACTCCCATCCTCACCCAGTAAGAAGCATTAGACACCTTAACAGAAAAACACAACTTGGAGGTAATGCTGACCACCCAGCAGTCTCCTGAAAATAGTGATTGTGAGAATTGACCCCAACCAGTAACCCAGTACAGACTGGTCTGGTCTCCCCCAAACAGTCYGACCCTCCAAGAGGGCACAGAGAACAGCACTGAAGCCTCACCCCAGTTACTGTGCAGGAAAGGATTAACCACTGGCGAAGACTTTGCAGRTATTTATTCTCCAAATCCACAAGACAAGCAGAGGGAAAAGCTCCTCTGAGAGTTATGTACACAGACTGCAAGTCTAATGCTTACACAGTCTTAATTTTTTTAATTTTGCAAGTCCTAACAACAATTATCTTCATGAATTATAGACATAATATCCGAGAGATGCAGGCAGTAATTAATGCATGTCTGCCTTTTCTGACTAGCTCCTTCTGCTGGGTCAGGGAGAGTTATTGAAATTCAGGAAGGAAATCTTCAATCTTCTAGAAGTTTTAAAGAAACAGAYGAAGACAGAATTTAATAAAGCAATAATATTTCTCTTAAATAATTAACTAGACTTTGACATTCACTAATATTTTTGAGGCCCAGCTCTTACTTTTGYAATAACACTGGATGTGATCCAATGCATATCCAAAATGTAGTAACTCTAGAATTACCTCTGGATTTCTCTTCACACATGCAGCCACCCTCATTCCTTTTATTTAAAATTCTCACTGAGACCCTTAACAGAAGCCACACTACACAGCACTGGCATCCTTCCCTCCTCCCATTTTGCCCTACCGACATCTGTCTCCAAATACAAGCACTCAGCACTCCCCAAGCTCTAGAGGAGCCACGTTCATCATCCTTTGGGAAAAACCCTGGGTTCAGAGCAGAACCCCAGCACAGCATTAGATGCAATAGACAATTCTGAACTAGACAAAGCTATTACTAAGGCACTGTATAGCACTGGATGTTGTCTAAGCTGGCTGTTTCCATCATCTTTCAAGCAGCAGATTCTCCTGCAGCATTAACAATTTTATTCACATAAAGGATGGACTCAATGATCCTTGTGGGTCCCTTCAAACTCAGGATATTTTATATTCTAAAGCACTCAAGTGAGTTTAATATACTTCAGTATCTTGACAACAATTACCCCCAAGCAAATACTACTTAGCCAGCCACGGAAAAACCCAGTGAAGAAAAAAACAGCCTTTGGCAAAAACATCTCACCTGYTTAAGCAATATAAAACTACACATCAAGATGGACAGGACTCAAACTCAAGACCAYGACAATCATTCTGATGGCCAWCAAGTTCAAACACAGCCATGTCACCAAGAATAGGGAGGGGTTATTTAGCCAAAATAGTCGGACTAAACCAAAAGCTTCATACTCTGCTGTTCACTTGAACTACATTATTTCTACAAGAAAAAAAAATCCCTATGCACTAGAAGCAGAGTTTCAATGGCAACAATGGTCAGCCCAGTTCCAGAAACTCACCAGATAGAGCCTGTAAGCATCAATCCTTCGAATTGGCCCCCAGCACTTGTCCGTGTCGTTGTACTTTGTGCCATCTCCAACACTGCAAGAATGGTTGCCAGTGACACTGCTGGGAAAGGAGGGAGAAACAAAAGACAGTAATTAACTCCTAGCAGATGTCTTCCCCTCTCCTGCATTCAAGAAAGAAGAATGAGCAGAGACCATTCCTCCCCTCCATCCCTGAACACACTCACTTCCTTACATTTTCTGGACTGTGTAACACAGCAAGTYGCTGAGTACCAGAGGTTTAAAGGCAAATTCTTGAATTGCCTGCAGTTATTTGCGAGTTTGGTCATTTGATCATCAAGCCGGTGAGCTCATATCTTTTATGGATCACTGAGGTTTTCCATTTTTGAGATACAAGTCCAAATGCAGCCCAGATTTGATCAAACCAATCTTTTGCATTATCTGTTTCTTTGAGAAAGGCACCATTCCTAGTCCAGAGGAAGGCCACATACCATCACCACTCACTGGCCTCAGATTTAGTAAGCATCACATCCCTCAGCCTTTACCCAGAGACAGAGAAGGCAACATATTGCAGAGTATTGCAATCAAACTACAGAGCAACAAGTTCCATGCCTGCAGTGCTGAAACTGGAAATACTTCACACCTGAAGACTTGTCTGGAATCAGGTCAGCTACTTTGCAGGCTGGCAGCAGGCACTCAGGCGGGGAATACAAAACAATTTCACCTCCCACCCACAAGAGATGAGCTGTACTTGAGTTATTTCCCCACACCATGCTTTGGAAAGTACAGCTGATCCTAGTCAGACTTAGCCCATCAAATCCAAAGCCTACCCTGTTCCCTGGGAGCACACAGCCCCTCAGCAGTAAGCACACTTACCAGGTCACCTGCATGAGAGAGACMGGCACCGCTGCTGCGTAGATTGCCAGATCTCCATAGAGGTAGATAATTATGCAGAAATAGAAGAGGTTGACACCCACTGCAGAAAAAGGAAATATTGTCCAGATTCAGCAGAAAATACAGGGATTCTTGTACTGTCTACTTCAGATATGCAAAATTTTTAAGATCTTAAATCACCATTTGCCTCCATGGTTTCTGCAGCAAACTCCACCCAAGCTCAGGGAACTTATCACAGAACAGGAACTGATGGGGCATGAGGGGTCTCAGAGCTCTACTCTGCCTCCTTCAGTACCTGGCATGGACACTAAACCTTCTAATTCAAGCCCATCCTGCAGTCAAGACCAACAGGTCTCACATAAGTCACCTGCCAGACAAAGCTGTCAGCTTGGAACAGCCACAGGCAAACATCCAGGTGATGCTTGCAGACTCGGTGTGAGCACAGCCTGAYAAAGTGATACGCAGAGAGAATGTTTTTAGGCTCTGCTGATTCCAAACCCTCTGCCTGAAAACCTGCAGGACCTTCACAATATGGATTCATTGGGATTTGGCCCTGCACAGCTCAGGTTCCACTGAGCTGAAATGGAGCTGCTTTGGGAGATTCCCTACTACTGGCAACTTGAGACAAGTTACAATCCTGCAAAGCTTTAAAACTGTTTCTCTCCTATACTGCTGCTGCCACACACACTGTTCCTACCACAACTCATTTTTTTGATAGTTTTTTCTATGCTTTTTTTTTTTTTAAATTACTTTTATTTTAAAGCTTGCCCTATCTTCACCTATGAGATAAAAACAAAATCTTACACAAATTAATTAGGTGCACAGCACAGACTTACTGATGAACAACAGATACTGCTGTGAGGGGCTAAAATCTACAGTGATAAAGAAATGCTTGATGGGAACTCCAGGATTCTCTTCTTYCAAGCAAGTCTATATAAATCTTACCAAGGAAAAGAAAATTGGAAGATATATTATTAGAGAGAATAAAAGCCTCAAATTTATTTAATTTAGGAAGCTGACTGAGGGAAAAYAGCTCAAGAAACCTGCCCATACTTCCAAGCTGTAATGCCACCTGATGCTTAATCCCAGTGCAGCTTGAGAAAACCTCACACTCACAGCTGTGACAACTATCAAACAAGGACAACACTGCTGCAGGAATGTGGACTCATTTCTACAGTGCTTGGATGCCCCAAAGCTTTAACATGGTTTTCCATCATACTGCTCCTGGATCTCTGGATGTCAGGAAACATTAATAGACATTCCCTTTAATTTAAATAAATTATTCAATATGCTGAGCCTGCTTAGCATAAAAGGGGCTCTGTCAGGAAAGCACCARGAGAACTTCCCTGCTTCTGTACAGCAGCACACTGAGTCTGTGCTCTAGAGTTGTTCCTGAAGACAAATGAACATATTATAGAGATTGTCAGATCATTCCATATMGTTCTCCCCTTGTTTTCTTGCTCTATAAAAGATGTCTCCACAGTTAGGGAGTCTCTGCATTGTTTTGGAGACAGAAACAAACTATTTATCAGTCTTCTCCAATTTCCCATTAAGGAGGATTGAATGCTTTAACAAATATCTGAGATAAGGCAGAAACTGCAGACGCATGAATCTCAGAACTACACAGACGCAGACAGATATTGTTTTGGGATCTGCTACTGGTCTCAGGACTCAGCTGCCCCTCAAGTCCACATGACCAGCTAAGCCACAGCAGCACCACGCAGTCAGTATCCACCAGCACACACTATATCCCCATTCCAGTGCAGACCTCTCTGTCTGCAGCAAACYCAGGTGACACTCCTCTCCCAAACCCATCCTCTCCAAGACAGGAAGACTTTAGCATCAGTTCTTTTATAAACTGCTGCTGACCCTCCCTGATCAATACTTTCATTACTGGGCACAAAACGGGGTGAAAAAAAAATCAATGACTTCCTGTGAGGAAACAGCATGATAGATGTGCCTAGAATCTATTACTGCAATAAATGACTGCTCAGTCTCAGAAGAAAGCACCTAACATTGCAMATTAAAAAATAAAAAAATTAAATCAAGAAAAAAAGTACTTTTTCAGAGCCACATCTTTCAGAAGAGCAYGCAGGCTCATCACAGCCTAAACCTAAGTCAGCTCCCTTTAAGAAAGCAGACAATCTGAAATTGAGATTTATCCCCAGCTTACCTCCTAGGACTGCGGATTCAACTCCTGTCAGATTGTTGAAAATAAAAATCAGTCAAGGGAAAGGAGCAGAGAACTCACTAGAAATCAGGGGTTTTGAGGTCTACTGCACAGCTTTCATCAGCCTTCCCTCTGGAGGCTGTAAAGCTCTCCATCACCTTGGGTTTGGATCTGTGCTTTGTATATCATGAGTAAACACCCAGACATTTGCCAGCTGTGAAACCTCCCAGACTGGTGCTTGGAGCTGGGAATTTCCCAGTGTGGCCCAGTTTCTCAGCACTAGGTGGTCACTGAGCAGCTGCCCTTGCTGAAGGCCTTTCTGTGCAGCTGTGGGGWGGAAGCACCTCAGCAGGGACCTGCAGAGGGAGGTCCTTCACTTGTCTGTCTCTGCAGCCACTTGCAGGCTGGAGGGTGTCTCTGAGTCAGGTCTCAGTGACAGGGATGGAGCCTCACTGCTGAGCCCGGCAGAGGGAAAGCAGCAAAGGAGTTACAGCTGCCCCAGGCCCTTGGCTACGGGCACCTCATCCTGTCTGGAAGTCACAAGTTGGGTCAGCCCATGGTCTGCAAATGTTCCAGCCACCTTCCTACAGATGGATTCATCCCTTTGCAACGGGCTGAGCAGACCCTGGGGAGGATCTCTAACACAGAAATCAGATAACTCTGGCTAAAGCAACATTAAGAAGAGGGATTAAGATTTAAGACTACTAAGCAGTTTATTTCACTTTGCTCGGCAGCTACATCAGCGCCGACAGAGAGAGGACACATATTCCCAGCACCCTCTACTGGCTGAGTACCAGACAGGCCCAAAACCTGCATGGCTTTTGGGGATCCTTTCCAGGAGAAAAGAAAGGGCCTCCTGAAACTTGATGAGAGCACTCWGATTCCTGTGATCCCCAGCCCAATCCTCAGCAGTACTGCTAAACCCTGTTACATGACTGCTCTCAAAGCATTTCTCAAATATTACTCCTCRGAGGAAGATCAAGAGACAGGGATGTGTTCACTGTGTTTTACACATAGCAAAGCAAATAAACAAGAAAGCTTGCCTAAGGTCATAACAACTCATTGCTACAGGCAAGACCAGGAACAAGATGTTTCTGACACACTTCACTGATCTGACTACAAATGTGGCAGCCTAGTCCAARGTGGATTATTTTGATAGCCCTAAGTGGTTCAAATCTACAAAATCCCAGAAGAGGCATGTGGGAAAATTAAGAATTTGTTTTCAATTAACTTTAAAATAAAAAAAAGAAAACAAAGTTCAAAGAATATTCACTCCTTAAGCCCAGCTGTCCTTCAAAGACAACAGCCTTATACTGGCACAACACTGATGTAATGTAGTGGAAAAAACCCAGCCTTCCATCACCTCTTTGCAAGGTGGCCAATGAACAAGGGAAAACATCACTTTCCACAAGAAATGGGGTCTGACAGGCTCAAAAAACTGCACAGCTATGGTGTCTGATCATGTTCTGCTCTGCACAGCATTTCATTGTCCTGCTTTGCAGGTTTCAGAATCCCTATCACTATGGTTTGCATTTCTATCACATGCAGCAATAGATGGGGCTTTATTACAGCAGTCACAAGTTTGTTCCCTGGCATATAAAAGACATTTAAAAGCAAAAAGACAAGCCAGCTGTCTATCATATCCTCAGCAGGGACCTCTTCAGCAGCTCATGTCCCAGCTCTCTTGATGATTCCCCAGACACAGGCAAATCCTAGAAGCTCCCATTAGAAGTCTCTCTCCTTCAGACTGATACTTACAAGGCTCAGGGAACCCTGAAAGTCTTATTCTCCAAAGCTACAATCAAGATGGAACTGGAAAACACTACAGCTGGGCTTCAAACTGTGGAGATCACAGAGGATAGATGCAGTGCAGAGGTAGGTGAAGGGCAGTCAGAACAGCACTGATCGACACTTGCCTTTATCAAGAAACTGGGCCCATAACCTGCAGTATTTTGCTAGTTCCACGCCCATCACAGCCCACCTGGCCCATAAATACTTTATACAGACACCACACAGGAGGATGAATACAATCCACAGAGAAAAGAAACAACACATTTGGGTGGAATTATCACAAACTCAGGATGCAAAGCCACACTGAGAAGCATGCAAACTTATGCAATACCCGTACATACAGCACACAGGAGGACCCAAAGGGACTTCTAAAAGTGTTCATCACTTACCTTTATTGAAGAACATGGAAGCCATCTGGCCCATTTCCACCCTCTCAGTGATTTCAAAGATATTGGCTGAGCCACGTCTCTCTGCAAGTTAAAAACAAGAAGTGTTTCAACCAATCCCTCCAATAAGCCCTGAGGGCAGACTACCTGGACACTGGGGAAGCTCTAGCAGCAGTTTGAAGGACAGTATGTACAACTCCACAGCTGCARAGTCACTGGGCCAATTACTCTGCTGAAGCTAGTTTAAAAGTATTTAGAAAATAAGATGTTCTCATCTTAGTGACCTAGAAGGAAAAGATCTTTATCAGGCTGCAGAAGGCAAACTGAATTCTCAATGAGTCTTATCTYGCAAATGCTGAGGACTCTGGAATGAGAGCATGTGGAATTAAGGGTGAAATGGACAGAGGAGTGCACTGGAACACTGCAGAGCAGATGCCTCAGAGCAGTGAAAGCATGAACTGGGCACTTACGCACTGACAGGATAGGCCGGGTCTCTGCTCGCTCGTAGCCATCTTGGAGGAGAACATCACTGTCAGACACTCCAGAGGAAGAATCCTCATCCTCATCATCCTCCTGGATCAAAAGACCAGAGCACTGCTGAGATACCTGCTATCCACAGTACAGGCTGTGCCACCAGCAGTGTCATGGCCACTTCCAGATGCTCAAAGGAAGGTCCCAAAGAGGGAGGGCAGGACATGCAAGCAAAGGCAATACCAGGGAGCCCTTGGGATGCTGTGGAGGGCAGAAGAGGGCAGAGCAGAGCAGGCTGAAGTGAGTGACAGGCTCTGCTGTCCCAGCCCCAGGTCACACACACACAGCAACAATGCCCAATTCATGTAGTGATACGTGGCACAAGGAAGTYGAAAACTTCTGGCAGATCTGCAGTGCTGCAGAAACTGGTAGCAAAAAAAAAAATCCAAACATATCTAGTCTTTGCAGGTAGCTCTAGCTCCTAACTCCATYCCACTAACACCAAGGTAGGGGTCTAAATCAGTGCAAACAATTATGCTTCCTTCTGATCCAGTAAAGCCACAAGTAAGTTTTACAGCAAGGACATAACTCAGAACTGTCCACAACCTGGGATACAGCCCGAGTAACAGCAAGGACATCCCAGCCTGTCCCAGTTAAATGACCTGAGATCAGCAAGGATTTATAGTCCTCAGCACACTCCAAATAGCACCAATATATTGGCTGCCACCTCTCCACATTCATTGAGCAGCGCTTCTGGGCAAGGAGAGCGTGATCAGTAAGAAATGTGAACAGCACAGGAGATTTTTCAAGGCAGGAGCAGAAAATCCTGTCTTTAATGAGCAACCCCACAGGGAACTAACAGCTATATTTTATATGGCAAAGTTAAGTACAGTAGAAATTTATTTCTTTAGAGTTAGTAACAAGAAAAGGCAAAGATGCAGGGGAATGCCAGGAAAACCCTACGTGATAAAAGAACAGGAGAAAAAGGAAAATTAAACCCCACACAAACCTTGCGTTTTTCCATTCTCTTCCATCTCAGCTGGGCGTTTGCAGCAGCCATAGCTTCTACCACAAAGGTCGTAGTCATATAGCTACAGAGAGAGGAATTCAATTGATATCATCAGTAAYAGTCAAGAACTGTCACTGAAGAGAGATGGAGAATAATTCCCATCTGTTTGTAGCAGCAAACAAACAAACCAAAACAATCCTTTTGCCAGCTCCCCACACAATGTTTTGATAGTGTTTCATCTCAGTTTATTGCTCCCTCCTGCTTTTGAGATTCAGGTGTTCAAGCAGACCACCATATAGAATAAAATATAACACAAACTTAAAATATAGACACTTCAGCTATTTGGAAGGCACATTCTTAGTGTTTCTGTGGGTTGAAAGCAGCAAGAGGACTTTGCCATTTGCTAGAAAGCAAGTTTCCTTCCTCTTTTTAGAGAAAGGACAAACCCGGTACTATTCTGAAGCTCATGGCAAGGGTACTCTGGTCYCTTAAAGAATCTTACACCTGGCATCAGAAGCAAAGCAGCAATACAAAAACAAGGAGCAAATCACATGGGCAGGAAAATACTGGWGGCCAGTGAAAAAGCTGTCTAGGGAGACAGAATGAGCCACTGACAGAAGGAATATCATTATCTCAGCTAAAACCAGGTCTATAATATTAATAAAAAAATTTAAAGACCCCTCAAATTAATCTTATTTAAAGCTTTTCTCACTGCTTCAGGAACTGGACTCGCCTATCAAGCTCAAATGAGAGATTAGTTTTGCAAGAATAAAAGGAAGTGCTGAGGCCTGTGTAGCAATTTCCGYGCAGGCTTTTCCTGCATTGAAGGCGCCCAGTGGGCACGAGGAAGTCACAAGTACCAGAACAAAAGGGACAGAGCAACAGAACTCCCAAGGTGCATGCAGCACCTCGAGCAGTGTCTTCTCAGCTTAATCCAGCGCAGTTCTGATGCACAGGTTTGGAGGTTTGTGCTCTTCTGCTGACCTTGAAGGATTGTCTGCCAGTGCTGAGTTTCATACATTGAATTTATTCTTTTAAACTACTGTAGCTATAAGGAATTGCTTCTACAGCTCCCATTTACTACTGATAACCCCACAGATTTCATTTTATCAAGCCTTTGCAGCATTCAGCTCTGAGGTGGGGCACTCACAAGTATTTCTACAGCCAGTACTGATCATACAGTCCCTCTGCACAGTAGCACAGACKGAGATCCCAGGAGCTCTGCCACCAAACCAGAGGCACATTCAGGCTGGCAGAGCTGGTTACTGAAAAGCAATCATGGACTTCAAAAGTCCATTTTTACAAATTGCAAGGGGGGAATTTGTTTTATTTTATTTTAAAACCAAGCAAGAATCAAGCAGGGATTCCCAGTTGGCCAGAAGATGGCAATTGTATCAGTAACTCCTCAGAAATCAGTGCTGTATCCACAGCCTTCAGCTCCACCTGCTGCTCCAGCAGAGTGGCACCTAGGCAGGGGCTCATGGTGAGCTACTGTGAAAAACAGACCATCTCGAAGATCTTGAGCAGCAAAGATCTGGAGGGACTAARACAGGCCTGGCTATACAGGAATTTRTGTTMCTGACACTCTTGCAGCTGTGAGGACATTGCCAGAAGCCAAGAGAAAGCTTACACATCTGCATCACATCTGCAAATCACAGAGACATGACTCTCTGTCACCTGTAAACTGGATGGCATTTGGGGAACTGATCTGTGATAGAGGCAGGCACGGGATGTATCCCACAGTGAGGACAATGTCAAAAAGGAGGCTGGGAGAAAGGTCCCAGAAGACTCTRGAGGAAAAGTCTTTCCTATCAGTGAGGAAATGGGATGTAGCAGAGGGTCAGGAAGTGCATCACTCCAAACCAGGTCCACATGCAACACCATTACAGAAACCAATGCTCAAGGAGCAGAGGAACAGAGCACACAGGAAAGCAGCTGATRTCTTTACACTGTCCTCACCCAGCTGAACCCCACCAATGCCCTAAAAACACCCACTCACATCCTACCTCATAAATCCCAGGAACATCAGGAGGATGAGGCTGACGAGCCACCCTGCTGTGGCAAAGGCCTTGGGCATGGTCAGGGCTCCTGTTCCCACGATGAGGTTGAACATGTAAACCAGGCCCACCTGCAATCAGCCACATTAACCAGCATCACAGAGTGCCAGGAATCATCCAAAACACCTCAAATACACCCTGACTTAAACAGAGAGGGMAATCCCACCTGGGCAGGGTGGGAACAAGCCCATGCAAGAAATAGCTGGASCAAGGGACTGAAAACCAAGAACAATGTGGGTGTCAGCATACTTCTGGAGAAACGGATATTCTCCTTCATTTTTCTAATAATTTTGAAGTATTTTTTTAACTSTAGCTTGTAAAGTTAGAAAGTACATGAGAGTTTTGTTTTTTTTTGTTTTCAAATCACTGCCTTCTACCAGAAGGTCTATGCTATCAGTTGGGGGGTCTCTCCTTTTTTTCAGACCTGAACAGAAGTAGTTCTAGGCACCTTTCAGAACCTTTTATTCTAAGTTAAGTAGGAAATATCCAAACAGAATTCTAATTCAAAGCCTGCTTGCTACTTCACCAGTCAGAAGCTGAGCATATTCTGAAGATGCGATTTTATTTCCTGCAGGGATGGATTTTATCTTCTCTGGCAATGAGCTATTTCAGTGTCCAGAGACAAAAGAGAACTCTGCACTTGGACAGGACCCCCGGGCTATGAATTTAGCTGAATTCAAGATCAAAAACTGCTAAAGTTGTTGTGCTTTGGTGGGGCTTTTTTTAATATAGGTCAGAGTCCCTCCAGAGGAAAGCCAGTAAAGAGCTGTGTATGAGCAGACTTTTCTGGGCGTGGAGCAATTAACATCAGGAGAACAATTCCCCAGTGACTYGAGAGCACTTCACTGGCATAAGCACAGCAAATTCATCTTTTGCTGAACATCTCTGAACAGTGATTTTCCTTTGGTCAAGCAGAGATGAGAATGGTGCCTGTATGTTCAGCCTGGTTAGACACCTTCAGGGAAACAGGAAARTCTCAGCCTTTGAGATTACTCCAGGACATTCATGCAGCACCAGCATAACAACGTAAGAGCAGGTGACACTAATCCTTGAGGGTCCAGACATCCCAGTTACTGTCTTACTTCTCCATTTTCTCAGTTGTGACCTATTTCTGTAGCCTAATATCCACTTCTACATTTAATCATTAACAGGGAGATGAAAATTTTAAAGCGTTTAAAATGCAACACGCAGATTTYAAAGCTGGTTCTATATTGAGTTCACTTAAAAAAAAAAAAGAAAAGTGTTTACAAAGTGCTGTTTTTAAAAGCTGACATTTTATGAACACTTGTGGCTATGAAAACCAGTATTTCCAGTAATATAGGAAAGCAGTAATTGGCTCGGCAGTTGCACAGCACACCACATTACAGGGAAGAAACACTTAATTACTCACTTTAAGTGAAGGTGGTTTAGAACAAATTACTGCAACAGCTGCAGCAAAGTAAACTTCGAGAAAAATCAAAGGAAAATGTTTATATAAAACAACAAACGAGAAGGAAGTAGCATAGTTTCAGTGTCCCAGTCCCTCCCTGTTTATGCCAGTGACAATGTGGGTTGATGAAAACATTAACAAAATGTAAGGAAAGTGGGCAGAARGATGAAGAGCTGGTGTGGGACATAAAGCTCTTTTTAGCACTTTTGGATCTATACTTCAAGCAGACATGATCCCTCTACTTTATGAAAAGTGATCTGTCATGCAAAAAAACCCCAATAACTAACATTAGGCATTCTTAACCACCATTTGACCTCCTTCCTCTCCCAAAATGCTGAGGTTGTGTCCATGAGGAAGTAGGATATGAAAATGCAATGTTGAGGGAAGAAGATTTTGAAAAAAAAACTTGTGAGCAAACCCACAAGAAGGAGAACTTACATAAGGAGAGTAAAGCTCTCCGGTGTCAGTGATGCCACCTGCCATCCTGGAGATGGAGGGGARCCCCAGAGCAAAGCCAGGAGGGTATTTTTGTGAGGGTGTTTTCAACTTCTGTTGCCTTTAACCTAGGRAAACATCATAACATTGTGTTATCTTTGCTGGAAAAAGGAAGAGTGTCAGAAGTTAGCTTTGTTAGAGTTTTCTGGTTCAAACAGATTTCAGCAGGACCTTGCCCTTCGGACAGACCCCACTCAACAKCACTGGTTCAACACTGTGAGAAGTTTTCATACCTGTTAAACTGGTTTAAAAGCAACCACAAGGTCCTGCCCTTTCACAGCATGTGATGACCAAACATCGCCTTCTCCAAAAAGCCAGAAGGGATCTTTCAGACAACTAAAACCTCAAGAGGAAAAATGACTGCCTTGAGGATGATCTCAAACTGCTGCTTCTCAGGCAGCTACTACTCCTTGCAAACATATGCCTCCTGTAAATCTAACAGTAAAACACAACCTGAAGTCTCTCCTCCTAAATTCAAGCACAGAAATAAGTACACAAATGAAAATAGTGGACCTATTAARGAAACACCAAGWTGCTTTTCACACATCAGCATTTCCAAAGCAGAAGCATTTGGAAAAYTTTATATGGTTAAAAAAAACTACAGCTGGAAGGGAGAACGGAAGCCTTCTGAGAGGTTTTGATGTCAATAATTAGCCAAAATTGAATTGTTCAAGGGCCTCACACTTCGACATGTGCTCCTACTCAGCCACACCAGCTGGGACAAGCYACTGGCACAAGCTAAGCTCCACTGAAAAATCCAGTTACAAGCTTGTACACCCACGCTGAACGACAGAAAGGAACCAGACAGCACACACGGCTCACTGTGGTCATAACTGGACCACCCTCAGAAGAAGAGGCCAAACACCACCTTTTACAACAAACCTTGGCTCAAAACACTGAAGCCAAGCTTGGCAAATCCAGAGCAAGCAGCAAGACAAGGGACACGCTGGGACGCGGCCGGGGACAGCGTGTCCCCGTGCAGTGCCCCCACCCCAGCCCGGGGGAACCGATCCCAGGGCCTGGGCTCACTGAGGGCATCAGAGCCCCCCGGGCCTGCCCCGGCCTGTCCCACCGCTGGAACGCAGCTGGGGGAACAGCCCCGGGGGAACTCCCCTCGCCCCACAGAGCGCCTACAACCCCGCCAGCTCCGCCACACAACGCGGCCTTCTCCCCATGCCCCCATCCCGCCACTCCGGTGCACCCCCGCCCCACACAGGGACCCTCCCCAGGCCTCTCCCCGCCCGCCGGGCCCCTCCCCAGCCCTCATCTCGTGATGCCCCCACACAGGGACACCCCCAAACCCGCTCTGAGGCCGCGTCCCGCCCGGGCACCCCCGGGACCCTCCGGCCCCTCACCGGCGCAGCGGCAGCGGCTCGTGCCGGCGGCCCCGCCCCCGCCCGCGCGGGGGCACTCACGGCGCACGCGCCGCCCTCGCGCGGGGCCTTCCGCGCCACGTGACCGGCTCGCGGGGCGGGACCGGGGGTGAAGGCGCCGACTGCGATTGGGTGAGGAAAAAGGGGCGGGGCCAACTGGGGGCGGGAGCGCGGGTGGGCGTGGCCCAAGAAGGGGCGCGGCAAAAAAAAGACGGGTGGGGGCAGAGGGGGCGTGGCCTCTCTGGGAAGGGGCGGAGCCAAGAGGAACAAGGGTGGGGCGAGGATGAGCAGGGGCGGGGACGGGGTGACGGCGCCAACCGCGATTGGGTCACGGGAGGGGCGGGGAAGAGGCAAAGGCGGGGCAATGAATGATGGGGCGGGGTCAGGAGGGGGCGGGGTCTGAGAGTGACGTAAGGGGCTGAGCCGCGCAGGGGCGGAGCGATGACGTCACACAACAAGTGTCTGGGTGGCACGTGGATCTCTGCGCATGCGTGGAAGGGGGCACGACAGGTACACGTGACCTCCCGTGCCGGTTCCCCTCAGCACCGGATCCCCCCCGGTCCCGGATCCATCCCCGGTCCCGGGGGTCCCGTTGGGATGCTGGAACAGGGATTCGAGCGTATTAATGCTGGGGCACTGCTGCGACCTGGGAGATCCGCACACTGAGAGCCGCCGCTGGCTCCCGAAAGSCTCCAGGCCGCGCTGCCCCATCCCTTGGCCTGGCCGGGGACACGGAGTGGGCTGTCGGGTGTCTCAGTCCGTGCAGAGGCCATGAAGATCAACCAGGACACGGTGCTGCGAGGACAGAAGGTGACGCTGGTGCCCTACACCGCTGCCCACGTGCCCCGGTACGTGCCCTGTGCTCGGACACTCGGCATGGTCTGGTTCCTCTTGCTGGGGTCAGGAAGGTGCTGCAGGGCCCGCTTATCCTGGGAATCAGTCACAGGACTCCCAGCAGTTCAGTGAGGTGCCCTCCGTGCCCGTGCCAGCTCTGCTGACAGGAGAACCTCACCTGTGCCGCTGGGAAAGGGAAATCTTGCTGTGAGTGAGCACAGCAGTTCTCCGATTCGCTGAGGCCTTTCCCTGGTGACAGTGGAAGAGCATGTAATGCCAGGTGGATGTTTGATAAATAAGGCATGCCACCGGTGTGTAGAGTAAATCAGCATGAAGATGCCAGTGTTAGGGCTCTGTCAGTGTCCAGGCAGTGCTGTGTCAGTGTCACCCGGCATGAAACGCAGCGGAACTCTGAAAACATCAGGTTTGCATTGGGCACTCCAGACAAAGCCACAGAATGGACAAACTTTTAAATTTTCACAGAGAGCACTTTGTTAGATAAGGGTCAGAAGCTTCAGGATGGTATTTTAGTTGCCACAAAAGCCAGGCTGGTGTTCCCAGAGCTTCTTTGTGATGGCCTGACCCCTGTAGCCCTGGTGGGGGATCCTCTGGTGGTGCCACAGCGGGGGCAGTGACATGGGGCTGGGTCCATTGCCAGGTACCACCAGTGGATGCAGTCGGAGGAGCTGCAGCGCCTGACAGCCTCGGAGCCCCTCAGCCTGGAGCAGGAGTATGAGATGCAGCGCAGCTGGCGGGATGACGCYGACAGTGAGCATCTGGAGTGTTTTCTGAGGGAGGCTGGGGGTGGTGAGCATGTCCCTTCCCTCCTGGAAGAGACCCACAGTGAGCTGGGAGTGCCCAGTGAGTAGAGCTCCCCTAAACCAGAGGGTGTGTGAGACTTTCTACAGCAGCAGCTTGAGCTGGTTTTCTCAATACAGCTGATATATACTCARCAGAGTGGAGAATATCCATTTCCTCGAGCTGCTTGTGTCCTTTTTATGCCGTTTTCCACAGTAGTGATTCATTTCCCACATTTTGTGCTGAGCTAAAGATTTTCAGGCATCACTCCTAAACAGCCAACACCCCCCATGTCTGATTGCTGCGAAAAGGTGGAGGGAGGTTGTATTTCTCCTTGATAAATTGAATGATTTTATGATCACCTGGTTGAGGTGTGTGGATTGAATTGGTTCCCTGACTCTCCTACAGGTAATGAATCACTGCCCATAAAAGCCTGGCAGAAGTTTAGCAAGCTGGAAAATACCGAAGCTGGCAAATACCTCAGTCTGGAACATTTGTCTYAGGTGGCATTAAAAACCTTACTCAGAGCAGCAATAACATGGACCAGGTGAATCACTCAGTCTTAGCCTCTTGTGCACCAAACAGTTCATTGCCCCAACWTGCTGCTGAGTAAGACAAAGCAGGGAGATCTCAGACATGGGAAGGAAGTTTTCACACTGGTTCCACAGGCTGTTTCTAGTTTTGGTGTCTGTGTCACCCTCACAACGGGTTTTTCCAAGTATTTCTTACATTTCTGCCAATGGGCGAAGGCACACCTGGCGTGGGAAGCCAAATTATTAACTCTTCCTTGCTTTKAATGTGTGGAAACTGTTCTTCCTCTGTCCATTACATGCTTTTAATTTCATTCTTTGGTAATTTATGAATAACTCTGAGCACACTCTGAAGGTGCTGCCACGTTCTTGTTTTCCCCAGAGTGCACCTTCATCGTRCTGGACGCGGGGCGCTGGCCTGGGCAGGAGGAGGAGGATTCCATGGTGGGGGACGTGAATCTCTTCCTCACCAATGCCGAGGACCCGACTGTGGGCGAGATTGAAATCATGATTGCAGGTCAAGTTCTGTTTCATAGCTTGGGTCTCTGTCACTGTGGCTGTGTGCTGCAGACAGATATTGATGTTCCTGCATCAGCTTTTGTTCTCAGAACTGTTCAGCTCTGAGCAGTCCGTGGCGTGTGCAGGTCACTGTCCCTTCTCAGAAGTGTCTGGTGTGGCTGGTTTGTTCCCCTGAGTGGATGCTGACTCTGTGCTGTCTCTTTCAGAGCCCAGCTGCCGTGGCAGAGGGTTTGGCAAGGAGGCGACTCTGCTGATGATGGCATACGGTGAGGGCTCAGTGCATGGGAGGGGAGTGTGGTAGGGCTGGGAGCTGGGAGCACATCATCCCCAGTGGTACAGCCAGGGTAGTGAGGGATCCATCTGCCCCACAGCTGGAGTCCTGTGGTTTTGAAGATGTGGCAGATAATAAAAATACCCCTCTCTGATTTCTTCTGCAGGAGTGAGAAACCTGGGGATCACCAAGTTTGAGGCTAAGATTGGTCAGGACAATGAAGCCAGTATCTACATGTTCAAAAAGCTTCACTTTAAGGAGGTGCTGTAACAGCCCAGCTTCTCCCCAGAGAATGTGAGCAGCATTTGCGCTGTGCCTGGGATTGAGCTGCATTCCCTCTGTGTGCTGCAGGTGGCTGTGAACAGCGTTTTCCAGGAGGTGACGCTGAGGCTGGATGTCAGTGACCAGGAGAGACGGTGGCTCCTGGAGCAGACAARCCACGTGGAGGAGAAGAGCTACGCTGAACTGAAACAGCCGGCTGGGGTGCTGGACACCTGACAGACACATGCAGGCTTTCCAGGGAGATGCTGGATGTTATTGCAAGGTCTGGGTGTGGGGGACACCAGTGAGTGAGCAATGATTGCACTGGAGCTGTTTTCATCTGTCTCCTTCAGCTGCTTTGTCATCTTGTCAACTTTGCACTTTGCTGCGCCAGCCAGGATTACTGTCTGAAATTTGGACCGGGAGAACAGACACTAACTCACAGGTTTGGCTAGGAATGATTGTAACATCAATGTGCTGTTCCAGCAGAGCCTAAAAGCACCAGCAGTTGATTCCTGGACAGGCAGAAACTTCTGTCAGTGCTCTTAACTGAGGATTTTTCAGAGAGGAAGTCTCATATACTGGCAGCTCTGTCTTTTTACTCTTGAATAAAAGAAAATCACGAAGATTTGAGTGTCTGAGCACCATGTGGGGCTCAGCTGCTCACYTTGGCTGCTCAAAGAGTGATTTAGAAGTTGTAAAGCATAGCAGAGGCTCTTTATAACCAATTTCCTGAGGTTTGGTGGGTTGCAGGGGAGCACTGCTGGGTCCTGGTAGGGAGAATCCCAGATGTGGCTGAGCACAACTGAAGGGCGAGTTAATATGATGGAAATTGTTGATATTGGGTGATCGAGGCTAGAGCTGAGCCCCACCACGATGAGGGGGCTGAGAGCYGCAGGAGCTCCTGAGACAAACCCCSTTGAGCTTCAGGAAAACTCRGGCCAGCAGTGAAGGGATGTTCCACTTCATTCTCCCTGACTACTTTGATGAAAGCCAGGAGGAGAACCCACAGAAAGGAGACAGCTCCTTTCTTCCAGCAGCTCAGGACTTGCTCTGCTGAGCCTGGAGGCTCCATTTGCTGCTCTGCACTAAGATGATTGTGGGGGAAATGTGTCMCATTGGGGCAGATATATTTAGGGCAGGAGTTATCCAGCCTCTGCTGCAGCAGATCTGAGCTCTGTGGATGAAAAAGAGGCRCTTGCCTGACTCCCACTGGACAAAGTTTCCTGTGCAGTTACTCAGCCTGACCTCTCCTGCCCTACACACACTGTCCACCACAGGGAAGCTGCTAAGATGAGAGGGCAGAAGGTAAGAAGGATAACTGATGCTCCTGTGTGTTTTTCCACTGTAATAGCAGCTGTAATGGCTAATCCTAGACCAGAAATTATGTGTTTCAGTGATTCAGGATCAGGTAATAACTTTCAGATTTGCCCAGGGATATTTTTATTGGAGATGAGCAGTCTGTGGAATTTTTAGTGTTGCTGTGCCTGTATTTTTAGGGCCTGGGGGCTTTGGTTTTCCAATTTTAGCTTATTTAAATACACGATTTGTGTGACTAATATTAAAGCCAAGCGTGGGAACAGTGTATCATGGCATTTTAAACAACAAGTATTTAGTGTGGATTTAGTTGCAGGGAAAGCTTTGTGTGGTAATAAAGGGAAGAGCAGCTCTACTTCCCGCTRGGATTACCATGACAAGGCTACTAATCCTCCTGCTCCTCGTCACCTGTTCCAGGCAGGAGTGGATTCTGTCCTCCAGAACAAGATTTGCAGAACCTGCTGGGTGAACTGCTGGCTCTGCTGCTCCTTCCGTGGAGCGTTTCATCCCTCTGCCAGAGGAGCAAGGCCAAACTGGCAGGAGAGACGTAGCTGGGCTGGGATTTGCTTCCCTAAAACCCTGCTAAGGTGGGAAAAATAATTTCCTGTAACCTCTGCTGGCCGGGAGAAGGGGCAGGGTGGTTCCTGTGGCAGCTCGCCGTGCCCAGCTGGTTGCTCTGGAGCCAGCGAGGGCCCCGTTGGCATCCCCGGTCCCCGGCAACGCCGGCGCTGCCCCGGCTCCACGGGCGGCTGGGAACAGCCTTTCCCTGGCAACCCAAAACAAAGTTGGGTCTGTCCCGGAGCTCAGCCCGCCCCAAAGGCTGGGGGAGGAATCCCGGCAGGGCTCAAACGGGGTTCCCACAGAGAACCAGTCCCCAGCTGCTCTGACCAGGCCAAGAGGCAAAAGATGCTGCTGGGACCCACTGGGTGCCCCCAGTCCTGCSCTGCATGGGGTGTCCATCCCAGGTAGGGGGGTCCTGCTGCACCAGTGGGATGAGGATGGGAAAAAAGGGGCTCCCCTTTGCTCAGAGGACACAGCTTTGGAGGATGAGACAGTTTGGAATGGGCTCCCCCAGTTTCCAGGGGGAAGTGACAGCCTGCACAGCACCCAGAAATGTAGTGGCACTTTGTCACGTGGGGTTCATTTGAGGTGCAGAGATGTGTAACCACTCGTGTGCTCGGGTGGAGAGCTTTTTTGGGGTTTGGAGCACAAAACAAGAGTGTGCAGAAGGGGAGAAAGTGAAGATAGCAGACAGAGGCCAAGCACAGCCCTGCCTTGTCCCCAGGGCAGCCACCAGCCTGGCCCYGCTGGGCCACCCAGGGCTAGATCCATCCATTTAGAGGGACAAGCACCCCTCTCCTCACCGACCCCCCTGCCTTCCCTCAACCCAGGCTCACCCCAAAACCCCTTATAGGGTCTGGGGTAACATCTGGGCTGCCCCCAGCAGAGCTACAGCCCTACAGCCTGGCTAGCAGACCCGGATTAGAGCTTTGCATCACCCCTCCTGCACTCTCCGGGGGATTAGAGCCCATTAATCACCCTGAAGCATTAACCCCCACTGGGACCAGCCGGTGCCTCCCCAACTCCCCCAACYTGGCCCCACCAGGTGCTGAGGGGCACTCAAACCTTGCCCAGTGTCCCYCAGCTACCTGCCTCTTCCCCCAGCCCCTGTGCACAGCAGACCCYGAGAGCCCCTCAGGCTCTGGAAGGATTTAGCTTTAAACCAGACTGGTGAAGTCAGAAAGGTTTATTCCAGTAAACAGAATTTCTCTTGAGCTCAACAGTACAACAACACCTGATTGCAGCACATGGAAACAAAACATCCACAGGAAGAATTTCCACAAAATACAGTTAAAAAAAATAAATGGTGTGATTGGAAAAACACTTATTTCAGAAAAAAAAAAAAAGTCTATGAGAAGCCTTTAAATTACACAGTGTTGGATTCAAACCCTGATCRGCTCTGTCTCCGGGAGTGTGTAGGAGCAAAGGAGACTATTATTGCTTGCTGTGCTGGCTCCAGACACCCTCTCCTCTCCCAAAATTTCCCCAGGGCAGGGTGCTGGGCATTCCCCAATGCTGGGCACCCATACCCCTCCTTGCACCTGAAGAGGCAAAGGGACAGGGTCATCGTGGACGGAGCTTGCCAGGCCAGGGTCAAGCACCCTGGCTGTGGTCAGTGGCTGGGCAGGTGGGGTGTGGTGGAAGTCACTAAAAGCCTCAGGTTTTGCAGTTAAAGGGTAATTTGGGGGGGTGGTTCAAATGGAGATGGGGTTTGGGGTGGGGAAAAAACTAGGGAACAGCRGGGACCAGGAATGTTGGGCACTAGGTCACCCCAAATCCTGGATCCCTCCCCTACCCCTGCTTGTGCCTGCCAGGGTGTGCAGGGCTTCAAGGCAGGGCTGGAGGAGCACCCTGGGGGTGAGCTTTTGGGAGGGGGCACCCCCAGCACCCCCAGTTCTCTCTAGCCCAACCTCCTCACCCAGGACCCCTCTGCAGGGATGCTCACTGGCCACCAAACCCCAGCACTCGGCTCARGGTGGTGGGAGCAGCCCCACATCCCCTTCAGGAGTCTGTGGCAGGGGAGAGAGGAGTGCAGGAGAGGTGGGTACGAGGCTGGGTGGGGCTAGAAGACCCTCACCCCGCCCCGGGGCCTTCACAGGTTGCTGAACAGTTCGTTTTTCTTGCTCCAGTCCATCTGGGGTGCCCTCTTGCTGGTGCGCTTCTGATGCGCCCGCTCCTTAGCCACGGCCAGTGGGATGTCCAGGTCCAGGAGGGAGCCGGATGCTGAATGGCGCTTGTCACCCTCCTGTGCGTGGGGCTGGGGGTGAGAGGCAGTGTCAGCCCCACCATAACCCCACAGAACAGCCCCATGGTGAGGGCTCACCCAGACCCTGCGTCCCAGCCTCTGCCTCCCCCCGGTGTTCCCAGCCCTACCTCGCTGTGGGTGTCGCTGGAGTTGGACACGGCCAGCGGCGCGGGGCTGGATGGGCTCTCAGACACCGAGTTGGACCGTGGCTCTGCACCGTTTTCCTGGGGGGAGCAGGAGGCAGTGTGAGCTCCAGCCCTGGGGCTTCAGAACAACCCCCAGAGCTGCAAGTCCCACCCAGGGGGCCATGAAATCCATCCTCCCCGYAGTAATCCCCTGCAAGCTCCAGGCACATAAATACCTCCAGCGCTGCCCATCCAGGGCGGGGAAGGATTAAACCCCAGCCTGACTGCTCTGGCTTTAACGGGATCAGGAGGAGGAGGGAAGCTGCAGGGCTGGCTGCCACTTCCCTGCAGCAGCACCCTAGCCCTGGAGCATCAGGAGGCAAAAAAGGAGGAAAAGAGGCAATGCAGCCACCACCATGGCACTCAACACCCCCCTCCTGCAGGGCACCAGTTCCCAGTCCCTGTCCCAGYGGCAGCAGCTCTTGTGTGGCAGTCTGGGGGCACTCTGGTGTCTGGTGGCATCACCCACCCACGGGCAGAGGGGAACACCTGAACAGGAGGGTCCCTGCCTGGAGATGGGCACAGATGGAATTTGAATCAAGACGAGGCTCTTACCTTCCCTATGTCACCATTGGCAACGGGTTCTGGCAAGGGACCTGTGGGATAAGGACAAGGGCACTGGGTGAGGATGTGTTTGCTTTGTCCCCTTGCCAGTGGGGGCCAAGCCAAGGCTGTACATGGCCAATGCTCACACAGCACTGCCCAGGATCTGGCCAGGTCCTCAATTTTTTAACCACYCGTTGCAGCCATCCCCGTGGCACCGGGGGATGTTCCGCCAGACACAGCCCCATGACGGCAGCCCAGTGAGACCCCCTCCCCATCCTCATGGGGACCACTGTGACAGCAGGGAGGGGGCCACATGGGGGAACAAAGTTCCTCCCTGTTCACTCCCCAAGCCATAAACCCTGCCAAAGTGCAACCCAGAGCCATAAACCTGCCCTTGTCAGCCCCACCAGCCCAGCACGGGGCCCTTGGCCAGGCAGGGGGACACCAAAGCCAGGTGACTYTGCTTGGCCCCAGGGTGATGAAATCTCCACCTCCCAGAGCTCAGCACCCTTAGATTGGGTGACAAGGTGACACAGAGCCAGCAGAGGTGGCACAAACCCCTCCCAGCAGCACAACCMCCAGCCCACCTGTCAGGTGCTGCTCCGAGGGCACCACCTTGCACTTCTTGAAGAACTCATCCGTGAGGACGTCCACCACCAGCAGCCTGGTCTCGTCACCGCTYGCCTTGATGGCTGCCACCACGTCACTGTGCTGCTTGCCCTCCATGCACACACCGTTCACCTGCAGGCACCACATCACCACTGGAGCCAGGGGACACCCATCCCTCGGGAGCACCATGGAGGGGTTGGGTACCAGCCTTGGTGCCAGTCACAATCCCACCACRGCCACCCCACAGCCCCCACAGGCATTCACAGCCTCGCAGGGATTAGCAGTGAAGCCAGGAAAACCTCATTAAAAGCAGATTTTCCTCTGAGTGATTAGCATGGGATCGAACAAGCAAAGCTGGCAGGGAACTCCCAGCAGGACATGGATCTGGGGCTGGCACAGGAGATGGCCAAGACACAAAGCTCTTATGCCATGCCATGGTTGGAAACCCCAAAAGCTTCACCCCAGAAGAGGCAGCAGCCCCACACCCTGGTGACAGCAGGGTTGGGATTCAGTAGATCCTTGCCCTCATGGATCATCATCCCTGGCACAAACCTGAGCCCATCCCCACCCCGGTCACACCTGGCAGGACTCGCGACCATCGCACACCTTGTCCCCAGCCTGCCCCGCCCCAGGAGCATCCCAGGGACAGGGGACAGTGCTACCGCTAATTAACCCCCAGCCAGCTAATTAGTGCTCAGCCCCAGTCGTGCAGAGTGCTGCACCTCTGGGTGGGGACYGGCAGGCTGGTGCAGGTCGGGCGGCTGTGCTGTGAGTCACCGCCGGCTCCAGGGACACCGTGTGCCTTGGGGGCCAAGGGCAGCTGTCACCCCCAGGGACGAGAGGGAGAGCCAAGCTTCTCAGGGACACCCCCAAACCTCCCCCCAGCCCAGCATACCTCGATGATGCGGTCCTGGGGTGCCAGCCCTGCTGCCTCAGCCGGCGAGCCGGGGTCGACGGCGCGCACRTACTGCCCCGGGCGGCTCTTGTCACTGTGCAGGTTGAAGCCGTAGCCATCGGGACCCTTCTTCATGCGGCACAGCCGAGGTCTCAGCTCCTCCTGCAATGGGGACAATCTGTAGGTGAACCGTCCCTGGATCCCCCAAAACGCAGGGACAGCACCAGGAAGCTGCTGGAGTGGCAGGGACACCATCCTCGGGCGGCCACSTGCAGCTACTGACACCCTGAGATGGGATGCAGGGTGCCAAACACCTTATGATCCTGGGCTCTAATTAATTAATTAGGTGCAGGGCACACTGATTGCAGCAAAACATTGAAGAAACATGTTATTATGTGTGTATTCCCAGACCACGCTCTTCCTTTTGGGATCAGGATTGCAACTGCCACGAAGGTGGAGGAGGAAGGGCAGCACCCCCACTCCACCCCATCCCACTCAGGAGGCTTTGGCCACCGGAGAGGTCTCAGCCATTGGCACAGGTCCCCTCCATCACCCCCTTGCCAGCTGTAGCCCCTCTCCATGGCAACCCAGGCATGGGACCAGGGAGATCCCCCACCCCAGAGCACCCCAGAGCCACTGCCAGCAGTGAAGGGGCACACAGGGCTCGGGCAGGCAGCTGGAATCCAGACAGAGCAGCCCTAAGGCTGAGCCACCTCCGTGCCCCGGTGTGACCTTTCACGATTAAAAAACAGAAACCAGCTCCACCGGGGTGGCGTGACCGCGACGTTCACCTCTCCAGGAGGCAACACCCAGCTCATCTGCACCAGGGTTCACCTCAGCCTGTGGATCCACCGGCACCTGGAGCTGGGGAACCCCGCTGGGGCAGCCACGGCCACGCACTTGGCCCACCCGGTACCGTTTTAGCTCCCCACACCAGGAGGAAGAAGCAGGAGCATCTCCAGGAGCCYGGCACACAGGAACTGCCTTTGCTTACCCAGCAGGGAGTGGGATGCCCAGGAAGCATCAGAGAAATGAAGTGACACAAACCAGCCACCTGCATGTGGCACTGTCAGAACTGCTCTGTCCCCAGTACCATTTATATATAAAATGATTTGCTTCCACCTTACCACCAGACCCTGGGCTTTGGTCAGGCTCTCCCAGCAGCCAAGCCTCACTCAAACTGCTGGAATATTCCTCACCAAGGGGGTTAGTATTTATTCTTTCACCCAAAATAATCTCTTCTCTGTTGGTACCCACAACATCACTGAGGACATTCACTGCAGGAATTTGCCCTCCCACACCTGCCCTRTGCTGTTCTTTATGCCCTTCACAGCACTCTTGCTTCTTGCCATGAAATCCCCTTTGCCCACTGCCAGGAAAACCTGGGTCCTGGGGTGCTGACACCCCATATCTGCCAGCACTGAAGAGCCACAGGGCCCGCACGGGCCGGGGTGACGCATTCACAATTGCTAAGCCGAACGCTGAGATAAAGCCCCGATAAAGCCCCATCCTCTTGCACAACGCCTTCCTTCACGGTCAAGGCCGGCTGTCACCCCAGCACCACTCGACAACGCCCCGGGAAGGGAGGTGCAGGCAGCACCCAGCACATCTGCCGGGAGCGAAGGTGATCCTGGGATGCCTCAGCCTGGGCACGCAGGACCCGCTCTCCACGTGTCGCAGCTCCACATGCCCAGTSTAACAGCCCAGCTGTGGATTGCCATGCTGGGTGGAGGATTGTGACCCCCTCGACTTCGCCCCTTCAGTCCCCGCCGTGCCCGGGTGGCAGCAGGTTCACAGGGTGTGACAGCATCCTCCACCCAGGCAGCAATCCCAAGCAATGATGGGGATAAACAATACACAAAATAAGGACAAAAGGCAGGAGCTGCTGCAGCCTGGCGGAAGGCAGCACCTCCCCGGGTCTCTGCCCTGGCCCGACCCCGAGCAGGGGGTTCAGGCTCCGGAGCACCCACGCTCCYGGTGCCCTTGGCAGCACTGAGGGGTTCCTCCACGCCGATAGCTCGGGACAAAGCCGGAGGGAGCACCCAGCAAGCGGTGCTGGCAGCGCTCCCGGGCGAGGAGGAGGAGGGAGGGCTTCGCTCCCACCCCTACCAACAAAGCCCTGGCAGCCTGGGCTCCCTGAGATGCTGGTGCCATGAATTTTTGGGAGGGGGGATGGGAAGCCCTGCRGGGTGGACAGATGTCTCAGGASACGGGGAGAGGTCAGAGCAGTGAGGGAGGCAGTGATCCTGCAAAGGCAGCTGGCCAAGGCAGCAGCACTCGGTRCGAGGGCAGCCCGGCCGAGCTRTGACCCRGCCCCMCAKCATCCCCCMACCAGYGGCTGGCAGCTCCTCCTGCCCAGCRTGCCAGGCTGCCTGTGCCCTCCCCAAATCTCCAGTGCCAGCAGAAACCCTGTGGGCAGGCACCATTCTGCCTCCCAGAGAGGAAAACAAACGCATCCGATCCTCCTGCAGCTGTATCCTGCCTGTCCATGGGGCAAGCACCCCATGGCAGGGCATCCTTGCAGCCCCAAAATCCCGTTTGGGCTGAGCAACATGAGGCAAGAAGGTTTGGGGCAAACACCCGTGAAGCAGAGAAGACCCGTGGCTGTGGAGCTGGAAGCTAGGCAGCAGGACAGCGGAAATGCCCCTAATTTCTCTAAGCTGCTGCATCCTCTCCTGCAAGGCCAGCAGCTCTCCCGCCACGCTGGGACACGGATTAGCCAGCASAGCCTCGTTATAAGCAATTACAACCTCTCTTGGGGAGGGCAGCGGGGGAAGCTGGAAGCTGGAATCAGCCCCCAGCACAGGCAAACCTCTCCTCCACACCCAGGGCAGGCAGAGGGGCATTTGTCTGCAGAGATGCCYGCTTGGGATGAGGAGCTCTGCAGCATGGCACCGCTATTCCTACCCTGGAACGGGATTTGGGGCACACCCGGATGCTTCTCCCTCTGCAGCACTTTCAGCCACCCAGCGGGACCAGCAATCCCAGATTGTGAGGACCCCAACTGCACRGTGTGTCAGGACTTGCTCTCCATTTCCCAGCCCCCCAACAGCAATTTCRGGACAGCTTTTGAAGCCTCAAGTTCCAGGAAGTTCCCTGCAGCCCTACAAGCAGCATCAAGCCCGGTTACTCAAAGAGAAACAGCAGCTCTGAGGACGCCTGGGCCAGCAAATTCACACGGGTCCCAAAATCTGGCGCACACATTCGGGCTTCATACAAAGGGGATGCAAAGCAGCCTCCTTGCAGCATCCCTGTCACGTCCTGTTTGACTGGAGCTGCTTTTCATGCAGCTGCCTTGAGAGGAAATTTAATTCATTTCCTAATTARACACCAGCTACCCTCAGTGCAACGCTCCCGACCGGGGGAACTGCTCCTTGTTATGTGTGAAACCTAGCCCTGCAAGGCTCACCGAGGTTTTACAAGGAAGGATGAATCTTGGTGGCGGGGAGGGCTCTAATTTAAGATTAAATTTGCAAGAGGGAAGCCTGGGGCTGGTAGCAAATGCCTTGCCCTGGTAGCAGGGTGCTGCCCTGGGAGCACTGTGTCGTTTGCATGAAACTTTCTAAAGACACTCCCGAGCAGCTGAAGCCTCCGGAAATGAAGGTGGGGGAGACAAACTGTCACAGCTCCTGRGGAGGGGGACACCCCCACGGCACAGGGCCCCAGGAAATGGGACTGGCCTCAGGGGTGTGAAACTGTCACCGTGCTGGCTCAGGGGTGCGTGGAGCAGCTCCCCAGGGAACCTCAAAACCTCCACCGCAAAATCAGGGAAGATTTGGACACCCAGGGTTCATAGGAATGAAAAGGAATCCYATGACGAGTCCCCTRCAACTACCACAGGGATTTACGGGGKTGTCCAAGCCCCCCAAGGCWCAGGGGGTCCCAATCATGCAGGACCCAGCAGGTTTTGGAGAGACAATGGATCCTGCTGGAAGTGGGAGACGTTAAACATTGCTCACCACAGGCAGCTCTCCCAGCTTSTGAGCGTCTCCAGGCTTGTTAAACAAATAAAGGCAAGTCCAGCCCAATAAAGCAAACAGAACTCTGACACGTGCAAATCTCCCGCTTCCCTTGTGACCCCAGAGAATCCCACCAACCCACAGAGCCGGGATGGGGCTGCTGGGGGAGGGGGCAGCCRGCACCGGCTGCTTGCCAGCGGCCCGAGAACAGGCCACCAGTGTGTTCCTGCCTCACTGCAGAGAAATCCCTCCCTGCCTGCGCCGGCTTGGCTCGGCATCCCGCCCGGCATCTTCCCACCCCGCTTGGTGGGCGCCTGGCAGGGGCGATGTCTCCAAACCCACTTGCCTTTCCAGCGGGCCCTGCCCTCAACCGCAAGATTTCCGGCTGCYACCTGTTGAGAAACCGTCCGGGGCCTGGTGGCAATGTCACCCGTGTCACCTGCTTCCTGGKGAGGAGAGAAACCGCCAGTAGTAACTGTACACGAGCTGCGCATGAGCCTGCTCCCCAAGATTCTGGGGAATCTCCAGCCAAGTTTTTCCCTCCAAAGCCTGTAGGGCACCTCCAGCTAGGGCTGTTCCCCAAAAACTTGTGGGGTATTTTCAGCTTTCCAAGCTCCTTCCATCACACCTGCAAACACAATGAGTGGAGAACTGTCCCACAGCACGTCAGGGCTCCATCCTCCCTGGAGACAGCACATCCTCAGCCCSCCAAACCTGGCAGGGGACTCACCCRAGCTACATTAACAACATCCCTTTTATTTTTYCCAGCCCATGGAGAGGTCTGGGAGTGGAAGGCAGAGCACAGACGGTCTCGCTAGCCCTGAGGGAGCACTGGCACCGTGACATACGGGAGAGCAAGCACGTTCTCCCCGCGTGGGGCAGCACCGGAGACCGGCACGGGGCCAGACCCGAGGGACACGGGACAACACAGGGCACAGAGAGCAAGAGAGACAGCACAGGGATAGAGCCTGGCTGTTCCCACCCAAATAAGCCCATCAAGGAGGTGCTGGAGTGATGCTTTAGCCAGACAGGGATGCAAGCTGTGCCTGCACTGGATCAGCCCAACCAGAGACAACAAGCACAAGGCTAAAGTCCAACAGGAGAAACGGCTCAAAACCACCTGATCCTCAGCAAAACCCTACGTGATAACAGCTCAGTGAGGCACCAAGGTCTGCCTGGGGGCTCAGCATCTGCACTGGGAAGGCTCCACTGCACCAACCTCTCTGGGAACAAGTCATAAGATTTCCCCAGAAGGTTCCTCACACTGGGGACACCAAGAGGCTGCTGCCCAGGAAGCCGTCCACATGGGCTGTTGTAACAACAAACACGTCTTTGCTGGGTAAATAAAAAGCAGTGTTATCTCCCGGAGCCCAGAGCGTTTCTTAGGAACCGCTTGGGGCAGGAAAGGTCAGTTATTTCTCAATTCCTCACCTTTCTACATCACTTTGTTTGTGCAACTGCTCGCTCCCACGCGTGCTTAATGCCGACATTCCTGAGTTAAGAAGTATCTGTGGGGACTGACTGCCAGGATCAAGACCCCAGCCCGGGAAGGGCTCTACTATCTCCACTCCACAGAAGAGACTGGACATACTCAGAGCACGAACGACTGCCACCAATATGTGCAGTCTCAGCCCCAAGAAACCTACTCTGCCACTGATTTTTGTTGTACTTTGGGGTGGGTTAGTGCCACCCTCGGCCCAGCCCTGGGCTCAGCGGCACGTCAAAGCTCGCCCTGTTGCTTTTCTCACCCCGTTTTACCGGCCCCGCAGCTCAAGGATGGGCCGAAGGGCTCCAGGGCTCAACGGGCTCAGTTATGGGTCCAACCAGCCCGGTGTGCCCGCCTGCCCCGCCCGGCACTGACAGGCTGGCAGACTGGAGCGTCAAGAAAAGAAAAAAATTATTTAAAATATAAAAGGCAAAGCAGCCGGGCGCGGCAGGACCCGGGGCTTCTCGGGARCCGCGTTTAAAGCAAAGCAAAAAGAGAAAGAAAGAATCGAAACCACACAAGATGCCCGGGGCAGACGCGGGCGCTCGCGACCCCTCTTCTTCCCCGTACAACACCTCTTGCCCTGAAAACTTCCGAGCCCCAGTCCCCCGGTCGCTCATTTACCCGCCGGTCTCCGCTGCTGGGCTCCCTCGCCGCGGGCTCCACCGGCGCTGGCGCCGGTACCGGCACCGGGACCGCCTGCCCGCCGACCACCGGCGGCTCGGCACCCGCCCCGCCCTGCTTCGGCAGCTGATCCTCGGCCGTCGAGTCTATAACGAGGAGGCTGACGGCGCCGGCGGCGGCGCGGATCCGCTCCACCACTTGCTGATGGCTCTCCCGCTCCACGTTCTCGCCGTCCACCTCCAGCAGCCGGTCCCCGGCGCGCAGCCCCGAGCGCTCAGCCGGCGAGCCCGCCTCCACCAGCCGGATGAACTGGCCCGGCTTGCCCTTCTCGCCGTGCAGGTGGAAGCCGTAGCCATCCGGGCCGCGCTCCAGGCGGCACAGCCGGGGGCTGGGGCCCGCGCCGCTGCTCATGGCGGGGAGAGCGGCGGGAGCAGCAGCGGACCAGTCCCGCCAGCCGCCCTCAGCGCACTGCGCGGCACCGAGCCCGCCGCAGCCTTATATAGGGGGCGGGGCGTGGGACCCGCGGCAGCCAATCAGAGAGCGGCATCGCACGGTGCCCGCCAAATTAGGAGAGCGCAGGGGCGTGGTWATGTAAATATAGAGGGTGTGGTTATGTAAATATATACCCAGTATATGCAAATGTTTCTCGCCCCGGTGGGGCGTCCCGGGTGGGCCCTGGTGCCGGTAGCGGGACCGGAGCGCTCCCCGGTGAGTCCGACCGCTCTCCCGTGGGGTCCGATCGCTCCCCGTGGGGTTCGATCGCTCCCCGGTGGGGTCTGACCGCTCCCCGGTGGGGTCCGATCGCTCCCCGGTGGGGCCCGGCCACTCTCTCAATGGAGTCCGACCGCTGCCCCGCGGGGTCTGACCGCTCCCTCGAGGGTCCGACCGCTCTCCCGTGGGGCCGGGCCGCTCCCCCGCGGTCGCCTCCGCTTCTCCCTGCCAGCCGCCCGAGCCCGCCGCGACAACCCCCGATCCTCGCTSAACTCCCCCCACCGGGGATCGGCTCTGCCACCCTCTCGGTGACAGCCCCGACAGTGGCCGGACACCGGCGGGACGCTCCTTGCTGTGCCCGCTCTGCGGTACATCTCGGAGGGCGTCTTGGGCAACGTCCATCCCAATCCCCTCTCCAGATCTCGAACGCTGCAGCCGGCCCCAGCGCTGCTCCGAGGCAGAGGGCTGGAGAGGTGCTCGAAGTTCGGCAGTAAAATAAACACCCAAACCGAAACTTCGTGGAAAGCGGGCTGGGAAGCGGGCAGGTAACTCGCTTTGCGGCGGAAATAAGAGAGCAGCACTGTTCCCACAGCGGTCTCTGAGCACCCCTCAGCACCCAGGAATTGGGAACCCGAGGATGGGAAGATGGACGGACCCGCGGGGGATTTGCTCTGCCCTGGCTCCACTTTATCTGGTCACGGACTGCGAAGCAGACGTGGCTGCAGGGGGTCTGAGCATGTGAGATCCTGGAGTTTCGACTCAGCCAGGGCAGAGCAAGGCAGCAGCAAGCGTGGGCTGCTCCGGCAATGCCGCAGGGCTGCTGGTGCCAGGCAGAGCTGTCTCCTGGCTCCAGGGTTTGTCCCAGCGAGGGTAGCACAGAGGTACTGCAGGTGTCTCCCACTGCAGGGCTTGGCTGATGTTCCTGGACAAAGGTCCCTAAGGCAGTTGAGATCACGTTTAACCGAGCTGCRGCCAGGCAAGCAAGGAAAGGACAGCGGCATGCCATGGGACATGTTCCTCGCAGGTAGCTCTGCCCTAAATCCCTTCTCAGGCACCCCAGTGGCCGAGGAGCCCCCTGTGTGCTCGGGGTGGCCGTGCTCCAGCTCSGCGGGACCCAGCTGGGAGCGCAGGGTGGGCTCATTTGTTTCCTCCACTCGGCTGAGCATTCGCCCGCGGCCGCTCGGCCCTGAGAAAAGCGGCGGGGAGGAATCCCACGGCGGCCGGCGGCAGATGCCTGCGGAGAGGAAAACCAGGGCAAGCGTGTTGTGGTGCGGCCCCAGGACGGGGGGATCTGTCACCCGTGTCACAGCCCTCCCCTTGGCCAGGGGGTTGTGAGCGGCACAGCCCCACGAGTGAGCGTGTTCGGAGAGAAGATGGGGAACACTTTTTGGGTGCCCTGCCCTAAGTCAGGAAACCAAACTCAGCTCCAGCAGGGCTGCTTTGAGCACGGGACCGCGATAAGGTAAAAAGGCAGCAGCGAAGGAAACAGCTGGAGCTGCTTTTGGGTCCAATAGTGCCTGAGGGATGGCAGGGCACAGGCAGGACCGTCGTGCCCCAGCTGCCTCCTCCTGCCCTTTGCATCTTGGAGTGACGTTAGAGTAGCTCGGGCAGGAGGGGGGAAAGAGAAAAGAGCCAACGTCTGTTTGTGTTGAAGCCATCCAGCATTTTTTTTGCAGACATCAGCCAAGCGGCAGCAGCAATGCCATTGGTGGGAAGACGGAGTTATTTGGGGAATGCTGGACTCCGCACCATGAGAACAGCAGGGGAGGAGGTCGGTTTTAATTTAACAGGCCGTGTTTACTCTTCCCCTCTCACCTTTGGTCCGTCGGAAATGTGCAAGGAAGGCCCCAGCAGGGGAGGAAGGGGTGGTGGGTGATCCCCCCTCCTCACGGCTGCTCCCAGGGCCCCCCAACCCCGCTGCTCTGCAGCGCCTGTCTGCAGCAGCCTCCCACGTTGCAGACCCAGGGCAGGGATTTCTCACGCAATAAACAATCAGACAGATGCAAAGCCTCAAAAATACCCAGCTTTAATCTGTAAACTTGCAAAGAGAGACCCGGGAGCAGAGCAGAGGTGAAGGAGGCACTGGGGCAGGTGAGAGATGAGCAGTCAGGCGCAGTGCCAGGGAAGATGCTGATGGGGACAGATGTGCTGGACAGTGCCTGACTCCTACGTGCAGCAGTGCCATGCCCTCCACAGCTGCTCTCTGYATCAGTGCTTCAGCTGCACAACCAAATATTCACCATCTGACCGCTCTGGGTAGTGCTCAGGGGAGTGGACAGCGTGCTGGAGGGAGCAACAGAGCTGGGCTGAGCACCAGGGATGTCCCTGAGCCTCACCAGTGCCCAGCGTGTGCTGGCTGAGGGGTCTCAGGCCTCTGCTCTCCAGAAAGCAGATTCCAGCTGCTATTTGCCAGCATCAGGGAGGAATAGCTGTATTACATGGGCAGTAATGAAAGAGAAACCCAGCCTGACCTGCGAGTCAGCAGCGCTGGAGCATCACCCCAGGAGATGCCACCRTGGACATCTCCTRTGTGAGGCTGGAGATGGTTTAGCCTGGACGGATTGAAGAGAAAAAGGCTTTTCTTGTTAAAAAATATAAATTCTCTGATTCCTGTGGCTACAACATGGGGAAAGCAAAATTTCTTCCTAAWTGCTGTGTGTACCAGAAATGCCCCAAGCATCTCCCAGATGCTYCCAGGGGAATTTCACTTCTCACACCAGCTGTGTGGGCAGGGAGCAGGTTTGGCTGGGCCCTTCCCCATCCCAGCCCTTCCCTTGAGCAGAGCCAGGACACAATGGGGACATCTCTGCTTTCTGAGTGGTGGCAGGAGGATAAAAGCCAATGGCAGTAACCGCAGCAATGAGGAGCCACAGCCGAGCGTGGGCACCAGGGCGTGGGGCAGCCCGGGGGCAGAGCTGGGGATCCTTGGAGAGAAGCCAGAGCCTGGCAGCACCAGGGACAGGGGGATGGATCAGACCCTTCCAGCTGGACAACAGCAGTGCTGAGAGCAGGGATGGCTGCAGGGGAGGACAGGACTGGGGGCTGCAGGGGGCTCTTCCATGGCCCAGCCCCTCCAGCCGCTCCGAGGGTTCCTCAGTGAGGTGTTTGGCTGTGTTCTGCACCTTGCTCGTGATGGGTGTGAGGGGTCACCATGGCTCGCTGGCCAGGCTGGCAGTCACCACACCACAGTGATTCCCACGGTGGCACACAGGTCATTGCTCCACAGACAGCAGGATCAGGATCCTGGCAGCAATACAGGGGCCCTCCTGGTGCACTCTGCCCCGCTGTGCTGTCCCGTCCACCTTGGCTTGCCAGAGCTCGGTTCCCTCCGGCGCTGAGGGCGGGATTGAGCCCTGCTCTGCCTCCTGCCTGGGCCCCCAGGCCGCCAGCTCCTCCGGGCCACCCTCAGGAGAAGGCACAGCAGCTGGATTTCTTCTTCTGTGACTCGATGTAGTCGTGGATCTGGAAGTGGGGCTCGTCCAGYGGCTGCATTGCGCGCTGCTTCAGCTCCCTGCAGTGGTGGGGCCGTGTTACCCCCACACACACACTCCAGTGCCGGTGTGGGAGGTGGTGGAGCTGCAGGGGACACCTCCCCTGACCCCAGTACTCACTTGGCAATGGCCAGGAAGGCCAGCTCCACGTTCATGCCCGTCTTGGCGCTCGTCTCCATGAAAGGCACCCCGTACTCCTGCAAGGGCAGCAAAACCCCATCAGTGGTGATCCCCAAAATGCCCTCCTCACCCTCTGAATCATCCCTGCTGCCTGGCCAAGGCTTGGGAGTCATCCACTCCCTGCCCTGCCCCAGATTTGGTGTGCAGGTGACTGCCATGCTGCCCCTGTGAGAGGCAGGCAGGTCTGGGCACCCATCAGAGGGGATGGCACAGCTCTGTGGGGACCCTGAGTGACGTGCAGATCTCGGGGGGGCTGAAGGTGGCTTAGACTGGCACAACTCACCCTGGCCAGTGATGCTCCATCCTCTGTCCTCACAGCCCTTTCACTGCTCACATCAGCCTGCCAAGGGAAGGGAAATGTCACATCAGGCCAGCTGTGGGGTGCTCAGGGGGCTGGCAGGAACGAGGGGCATCACAGATCCAGAAGCATCTGCTGCCCAGAAAATCCAGGATCTGTGGAGCATCTGGGACTGGTGGCATCGAGGATGTCAGGGGGCATCTGGGACCTGGGGACACTAAAGACCTGGGGTGTGCAGGACACAGGGAGGCTCTGATACCCTGATGGGTTTTGAGTGCCCAGCATTATCCAGGATCCAGGGTCCATCCAATCCCGGGGAAATCTTCAGTACCCAGGTGGGCACAGGGCACCCAGCAGCATCCAGGACTCCCTGAGAGAATCTGGGACCTGGTTGGGGCTCTAGAGCTTGGGGTTACCTGAGGTCCAGGGGTGCAGCCAGGCCTGGGGGACCATCCCATACCGGGAGTGTCCCATACCGAGAGCATCCCGTACCGGAGCCTCAGCCTCGTGCTGCCACCCGCTGGCTACCGGGAATACTGCCCTCCCTCGGCCCCAAAAACCTTTGGGGTCACCTCTGGGCTTGGCTGAGCCCAAAATGCAGCAGAGCCCGGCGGAGGGTGCAGGCAGAGCCCCATCCCTGCTCAGYCATGGGCAGAGCACAGCACARCAAGCCCSAGGGTGGAGGGGGACCCTGCACGCACCTTATTGCCCAGCAGCATGATGACCACGTCCTTCTGGGCRTATTCATGGATCTCTGTCAGCCAGGCCTGTGGGCAGCAGGGTTGTGTCAGGGTGAGGGGTACTCCTGTCCCTCCCAACCC